TAGGGATGGCCGGTTCGCTCACTGGCTGAGCTTGGTGCTGACAACACCAAGCCAAGGGTTACGATCCCCTTACCGGTCATCTTTTATTTAAAAAAAAAAAAAGAAATGTGTACCATATGATCCAGCAATTCCAATTCTAGTAATCTATTCTACAGAAATAAAGATTTGCAAATGGTAGTTCACAACAGTATTGCCTATAATATCCAACAATTTTAATCCATGTAATTGTTCATCAAAAAGGAAATCTTTAAATAAATCACAGTATGTCTATACAATGGATACTATGCAACTATTTAAAAGAACATCTATTTATCCCATAGCTTAGATACGACTTCCTGATACCCAGGCCAAGAGTGGGTTAAATAACTCTCCTATAGAAATCTGTCTGCAGTCACCATAGAATGTATCACCTTGTATTAAAACTGCCTGCTTACTTAGATACCAGGTGGAAAAAATGCTTCCTGAAGGATGTGAAAGCTAAGAGGAAGGACGGGAATACCCAGTGGAGGAAAAGATGGAGCAGGACAGAATTAATAGGCAGCGAGGAAGCCATGAGCAAAGGCCAGAAGGCAGACAATAAATGTGAAAGGGAACTCCAAACACTCAATACTGCCTGCCAGTGCTTAAACTGTGGTAAAGGAGATGAGGGTGGTGATAGGCGGAGGGGGGCAGGGGCAAAGTCAGGGTGGAATGTTAAGAAATGAGGCCGGAGAAGTGGGGGCAGCTCAGAAAAGGAATTTTGAGGACTGCTATTAAAGAGTGTAGATATCAACTTGACAGTGTTACTGGAGAACAACCCAAAGGAAAGGAGTGCTCTGACCACACTGTGGAGACTGGATTGGAGGAGGGGAAAAATGAGGCGGCAGATAAACAGTTAGAAGGTGGTGGAGGAAGATGAGAGGAGAAAGTAGGAAGCAGAATTCACTGGATTTGGTGATGGAATGTGGGAGACAGCTAAGAGTAAGAAGTCACGGATAAAGCCCAGATAAGAGGTATTTAAGAGCATAAATGATAAACAGAAGATGACCTAAATGACACAGCAGAAAAAGTCATTACAATAATTTATTAAACATGTTGGAGAAAACCTGGCAAACAGATTTTAAGAAAAAGAAAAAGAATGGGCAGGCCCCGTGGCTCACTCGGGAGAGAGTGGCGCTGATAGTGCCAAAGCCACGGGTTCGGATCCCATATAGGGATAGCCGGTGAGCTCACTGGCTGAGTGTGGTACAGACGACATCGAGCCAAGGGTTGCGATCCCTTTACCGGCCAAAAAAGAAAAGAAAAAGAAAAGCAATATTGCCAAAAGGACCACTTTTTTTTCTTCTTCTTTTATTTTTCCATCCTCAATCTGTGATTGAGGAATAATTACAGTGGCTTTATGTCATACCCAAATTCAACTTTGAGTATTTGGCCCCAAAGAGAAGATCTACCGTGCTCTGGATAGATGAGCATGAGGGAGCATGAGATGGGAAACCACTACCCTGGAGTGGGAATTGGATGCGAGACTTCCATCTCAGTGAGATTCCTTCTGTTCCCTCATGTCAGCATTTCTCCAAGGTGACAGTAAATATAGGAATTAGAAGATAATATCATTTTTATGACCCTTCAGCAAACTACTTCATCTGGTACTCAAATGAAGAAAACACTATCTCAACAATGCCACTGTTGACTACAAAACACACATGACTTATTTAGGAACCAGATGTTACTCTTCTACATCCTTAATTTTTCTTAAACTTACCATCGTTCTTCAAATAAGGATACTCTGAAAGGGAGTGAATGCTCCTCTCTTTCTGACTTTCTGCTCTCCACCTTAATATATATACTCTACAGATTTTTAAATAGTTAATCTAATTAAATGTAATTTCCTTGGTTAAAGTATAAAGAAACCAGGATTCTGGCTTTATTCCAAGTTTTACAAAACCATACAAAATAGTTATATTGGGTAAGATAAAATTTAGCCACCAAGGGGCTCGATTTTCTTATACAATTTCCTGTGCCATTTGCAAATTAAAAAGAAAAAAAGAACAGCTGAGTACTTCTGATAGTAACTTGAAGCCATCAGACAAGTGGAAAAGTACTATAGTTTACTCCTTACAGCACTGAGCAAAACTTAGCATAGTCCCATACACATAGTATATGTACAATAGATATCTGTTAAATATTTGTTTTTAACAATTACATAAAAACTCTAGGATAGTACTACTTTTATCAAGATTTATCCTTTATAAAAAAAATTTAAAATGCAAATAAATCACTTAACAAAACTTACCTGCTACTGTGAGCTTGGCTGTTCTACTGACAATAGTTCCAAGACTCTCAACAGTGGCCACACACTGATAATAACCTTCATCAGGCTTATTGTGTTTGGAATGCACCACATTGCTGATAAATAAAGATCCATCTGGGAGAAGCTGGCGTCGATCATCTGATACTAAGTTTAAAAAAGTTCCGTCTTTTTTCCATTCAATTTTTGGAGAAGGCTCAGAATATGCTGAACAGTTTAATATAACGGAAGAGCCTCTAACTGAGAGCGTATCCACTGGCTCCACCAGAAAATAAAATGGAGTGAATGTTCGAACGCTGGCTCCTACAAGAATAAAAACAACAGAATTAAGCATAACTTTCTTCTATTTGTGTATGAAAATACAACATGTCCAAAAATTATTCCTAAATGATTATTACCAAGGTCAAGGGTTTGGATCCCCATACCAGCTACCAAAAAGAAAAGAAAAAGATTATGCTCTTTGGATATGATACATAAATATAGTCATCTCACTATGAATGTCTAATAAATAAAATTTACTTATACTAGGAAGCCAAAATTGGACCCATTAAGAAGAACATTAGGGAAAAAAACCTTTCTACCTGAGATAAGTAAACCTTGTTAGATGTTATGAATACCTAGCAAAAGTTTTATTTCAAACCGTACAATGGGACTTATAGATACTTAAAATTACCATATTCAAATTGAAATTTTCCACAGAATATAAAGGAGGCAGAAAATTGAAATGATTCTTTGTTAATAAGGTATCTTTTTGTTTACTGGCTTTATATTCCTTTTATAAATTCACTACATACATTTTGTACATTTTTCCAGTGGATTACTCGTCCTATTTACTTAAAAAGCAATCTTTGGGTATAGCTACAATGTTTTGCAAATCTTCTTTTTTCCACTTGACTACGATTTTTGTTATAAGAAAAATAAATTTTAAACTACATAAAATTAAATCTGTTACACTTAGGTCGTCTTTATCCCAATATTATAAAAATCTTCAGCCTTGTTTTGTTCTATTACTTTTGTGGTTTCGTTTTCTACATTTAATCTTCATCTAGAATTCATTCTGATATAAAGAGCACAAAAGGGATCTGCTTAATTTTTAAGTCCCTGACCAGTTCTTTGAACACAGGAAGAACAAAATTTAAAGAACACATTTTCTATAAACCTTATATTCTCAGCCAGAGAAAGCTTTCCAACTTAAAGCTTTACCTCTTTTCTTCTGGAAAATTACTAATCAAATCCCTTGTAAACTACTCAATTGTAAACAGGTTTCTTCACAAAAACAATCAGAGAAGCCTTGTTCAACAAATGAAACTAAAATTGTTCTTCAAATATGTCTACACAGCTCTTTATTTATAATTTATTTACATTATGAATTTAAGATGACACTAATTCTACATTATATAATGAATGACAATGACTGGCTCCAAATAAATATGAAACACATTAGCAGAAGAAAGGATAAAGTATTCAATTGTTTTAAAAGTTTTCCAACACTCAAATGATAAGCAAATTCAATTCCAATCAGACTAATTACCTTTTCCCAAACACCACAAGGGGGTGTTAGAAAGTTTCAGGTCTCCATCCCTATTTGATGACTATGAAATTCACCTTTCAAGTTTTAAAACTCTTGAAAATAAGCTTAGAAATTTTTCAAAAGTAACATGCAGTTAATTTATTACGATTAAAATTTCCATATTGCATTAATTTACTGAAACTGAGTAAAATAAGTCAAACTATAAACAAAAGAAAGGTACGAAACAATAGCTAACCTAAGAGAAATTACTTTTATAACTTTCCTGTATTATGCATTAAATCTTTATCATATCACCTGAATTTAAACAACTCAGGAACTCAAAAGACAAATGTCTTATTAGATTGGTAGTCAAAATATGCAAAGTAACAATTTAAAATATTTTATTACAGATATTAATAAAACAAGTACATTTTATTTAAAAATAGGACAAAATTTTTGCCATTTTAAGAAAAATCAAAAAAATTACACCAATTTAAATGTTTTACAGTTTAACATTGTCTTGCTTTTGATTTTATTTCATTTAAAAAAATCTATACCCATATTCAGTTAAATAGGACAAAATTTTTGCCATTTTAAGAAAAATCAAAAAAATTACACCAATTTAAATGTTTAACAGTTTAACATTGTCTTGCTTTTGATTTTATTTCATTTAAAAAAATCTATACCCATATTCAGTTAAAAAAAAAGCATACATATTCAAAAACTTTTAAAAAAATTATACTCATAGGAAAGTTTACAAAAGCCTTTGAAAAATCAAAGCACTTCAAAATTTTACAAAAAAAAAATTCTCTCTGTATTTCTTAGAATACAGCATTACTTAAATATTTATGTATATCATTTTGTATTTTACTCCCTCAGTAGGAGGGCAGTAATCTAAGATATCCTCCCTTCCCTTAGAACCCCTCAAAGGCTTGCTGCTGCCTTTTTCATAAAAACCTAAAGAAACTCCTTAAAAGTGAGCTTCCAGGTCAACACTGTGTGAGCTAGCCTCTGCCCATCTCCAGCTACCCCCTTACCCACCATCTCTCTCCTCCCAGTCCCTCACAGCTTCTGCCCTCTTTGCACAAGCCATTCCCACTGCCACCCATCTCCAGTCACCTCCTGATCTTCCTTCAAGATCAGCTTAAAGAACACTTGCTCAGAAATGTTATCTGTCTCTGGTACCCAGGCAAGAGTAGTTCACCCTATTTTATTCAAGCATGGCATATACTCTACCTACAGGCACTTTAAATGTTCTTAATCTTTAAATATTTATAATAATTTGTGGGTCAAGATAAATATACTCCCAAATTTTCTTGGCTCCTGGTGCCCTTATTTTCTCAGTAATTTTTTTCACAACTTCCCTAGGCCAAAAGAAATACCTAACGGTCCCATTTATTAATAGGTTCAAACAAATGAATAAGGATTTATGTTCTAATAAGTTAATGCCCTTTTGAAAACATAATATACAAACTGAAAAAAATTATATTTTTATTTCATGTTAAAATAACCACAATTAATTATTATGGGTTGTGTGCACCTATTGGGCATCGCACAAATACTCAAACTTAGGAATTAGATTGGATACTACCCCCTACATTTCCTGTCCCACACTGATTTTTGCACAGTACTTGCTTTTTACTATAGCAACCAACAAATCCCAAATTTACAAAGATAATCATAGCAATGAGATGAAGGGAGCACAAGCAAAATGCTGAAACTATGATCTTGAGCTAGAAGTTCACACAGTGTCCAATAGATGTCACTGTGTTTCCCTAAAAAGTCTGAAAAACTCCTGGGAGTTCTCTGAGATGCCTTGGGGTAGTACAGCTTGGGAACTGTATGCTTAAGATCTATCTTTCTACACTGTGTTTAATTCACCATATTCCCAGTACCCACTTAGCGCAGAGGATGGTATCAATCTTTATATAACCAGACAACTTCTAAAAATTTCCACTGGTCAAAGTATTAAAGAGACCACATGTTCCATTCAATACTAGCCAATTAGTATCACTCTCTTCCAAGCTAAGACTTAATAATACACAGGGTTTCTGTAAATTCAGACAAGTTTTTAAAAAGTTATAGAGAAGAGTAAAACAAAGCCAAGAAGATAAATAATTTTGTAGAACAAAGTAAAGGGACTCCACTCATCAGTTATTAGTATCTGTAAAGCTACATAATTATTAAGCCACTGTGGCTCTTGAGCGGGGGATAAAAACAGGCTACACAGTCCTCAGACAGGGCTTATGCATATTTAGAAACTTAATACACAATAGAGATGACACTATAAATCAACTAGGGGAAAGGATGGACTACTCAATAAATGTTACTAGGACAACTGGTTATCCATCTGGGGAAAAAATGAGATACTTACCCCACAACACGTAATAATAATGATCACTTATGCACTTCTATGTACCAGACACTGTTCTAAATATTTTCTATATATTAACCACTCATTGAAGCTTCTCCACTATCTTATAAGATAGGAACTAGTATCATTCCTGTTTTAGAAAGGAAACTGAAGCACAGAAATGGTAAGTAACTTGTCTAAGGTCACTCAGGTAGTAAATAAGAGAACCAGATTCTGTGATCTTACTCACTGTACTACAATGCTACTCAATATGTATACAAAAATGCATTCCAGACCTATGAAAAAAATGTAAGTAATAAAGATCTTAGAAGAAATTTTAGGGAAATACAAGGATAACCCTGGAGTTGTGCGATCTTTTAAATCAAAATAGGAAGCCTCAAAGCTAGAAAAGAAAAGATAGACATGCATTGTATTTTTTTAATAAAACAACTTTTTATGGCAAAATACTGCAGCAATAGACAAACAATGGACTGCGGGGGTGGAATTGTGTCACATATAACAGATAAAGAATTTAAAAGTTTAAACCACTCAAAAGAAAAAAAGGGTGAGGCTGTGTTCCAATAAAACTTTATTTACAAAAATAGGCAGCCGGATGGATTTGATCCATTGACTGTAGTCTGCTGATCCCTGCCTTAGAATGTTATCCAGCAAAAAATGAGGGAGCTGTTTCAGCTGATCTAGAATAATTTCTGTGAAAAATGAATAATGCAGCCAAATGTAATTTATGTTATTTCATGTGTATATGATTATATGAGCATTGAGAAAGGTAGGAAAGTACCTAACAGGCTGTTTCCACTGGTTAGTGGGAGGGAAAGGGTAGGAGAAGATGTGGGGGGATAAAAATCACCAGGCGTATATAAAATAGCTTCATGAGAAAAATCAGCTTGTATGTATTATCCACTTATAAATATTATACATATATATGTGGTAGATGTGGGTGTAGGTTCACACTTGTGAATACCTAAGGGGATTTTTTTTTTTTAAATCACCAAAGTGAGGACTATCTCAGGGATTTCAGTGAATTTTTATTTTTTTTCTTTCACCTTTGGTATTATCTAAATATTTTATGTAAAATAGTATTGTTTAAGTAGAAATTAAGCTATTTTCATTAATAAATTCATAGACAGTCTGCACAGGAGGGAAACATTATGAAAATCTGGGGTATATTCATATACTAAGATTGAAAGATTGTCAAGATATATATGTCATTAAATTTTAAAAATATTTAAGTTTCAAAATAATATAGTATGGCCCCACTCATTTTAAAATATATGGATATATGTATAGACGTGTGTGTGCCCCTGTTTAAATGCAAATACATAGGGGAAAGTCTAGAAGAATAAACACTGAACAGTTAACAGTGTTTTCTCCTGGGGAGAGCAGTGGGAATGAACTGCTGATGAAGAGCATGTAGGGAGAATGCTTTTTACTCCATGTATTTCCATATTGCTACTTTTTTTTTTCTTAATATGAATTGCTGTGTATCTTTTGGTCATCTTTTTTCTTCAGTAACAAAAATCTTTTTGTTGCTGGTGGTGAACAATCCCTTGCTGAGAACAGAGGATTATTTTAAAAAATATCCACCACCATTTTCTGTAAAAGCTTTTTGTCACAGTAGGATTATCAGACACTCACTCCTTAGCTGACTTTGTATAAAAACTGTCCTATACTTCTCACCAGGATCCTGATCCCCCATCCACTTAAGTTTGCTTAATTTTCATTTATGATGGCCAGAGTCACTGGACAAATATTTGGAAAGAGGTTTAATGATCTTGTCTGATATGTTGTACATTCCCAAGTCTCTGCAAATTTCTCACTTCTTAATGTAATAGCTCTCACTTCTTGATAGACTATTCGTCACTTTTTGATAGAATACTTCACACTTCTTGATAGAATTCCATCTTGTGAAAGGAAAATATCCACAGGGAACTTCAGTTGTAAACCCTCTCCCACTCCACCCCCGAATATCAACAAACCATATCACTCACTGGCACACCTTAATTGTGTGGCTAGTAATAATTCTAAATTTTATTATACCCAGAGTAAAAAATTAACATATGATATGAATGCTGGCAGAAATAAAATGAAATCTTTCTATCCTGTTGCCCAAAAGGGTTCAAAGTTTAATAGTAGCAGAAATGCAGGGAAGAAGGATAAGCAAGCATTTTTATACACCTACAAATGTAGCGTTCTGTATAATGTTCTTCATCATAAGAAAATTATCTCTTCAGTATAAGCTAAGACCTATCTGTGTTCTTCACAGCAATTATCTTTCTGCCTGTTGGGTTTTTTTTTTTTTTTTTTTTTTTTTTGAGGTCTATCACTTCCACTAGCAGGCAGGCTACACAATAAGAGAGTATTAAAATGACCCCTGGTTTGCCACTGCTATTTGCACCTTGATTTTTGTTCATTGTTTTACCCTTTTTCAGGATCCTACTGGTAGGAAAGGTGGCTGAGCAAAGATGGAATAAAGCATTAGTGATTTTTAGTGACTTTACATAACATCAAACTTCCATTATTTTTTCTAAGATCAGTCTCAGTCTCAGAAATTTTAAATTCGGATGTTTTAAAATCTGTCCTTTCTAAAAATGTTTTAAAATCACTCTTTAAGGTGTCATAAATAAAGTTAATATTTTATATAGCTTCCACATGATCTGCAAGAAGACCAGGTGAAATTTGATAACCTGCAAACAATACCACCAATGTTCTCAACAGTTATCTGGAAATTCTCCAAAACAATTCTTAGAAAAAGTACATTAATAATAGCATCAGTCAACATACCAACAATCTTAGCAATATTTCTACTTCAGCTCAAAATGGGAGGAAATTTGAATTGGTTATTTTTCATTCTTCTAGACGAAAAAAATGTAAGAACTTTCACATTAATTATAGAATTTTCATAAAAACATCTTATAAGCAACTTTTTAATATTAGTGGTCTTCTAGCCACTAATATTACTATATAAATGATGTCATTACTATATAAATGATGTCATATTTTTCTACCATGGACAATGATACTTTACTTGTATTGAAAATTACCAAAATGTTTTATCACAGTAAATTGTCAAATTATTTTTAAATGGAACACCCTTTTGTAATTTTCTGCAGTTATTTTAACCTAATACAAAAATGGATAGTCCTCTAATTTTTCCGAATCTTCTGCAGTTATTTTGACCAAATATAAAAATGGACCATCAACTAATTTGGAACACATTCTTTTTTGGTTTTTGTCCTTTTTGAGACCGGCGGCACCGCACTCCGCCAGTGAGCGCACCGGTCATCCTTATATAGGATCTGAACCCAGGCGGGAGCACTGCTGCGCTCCCAGCGCCGCACTCTCCCGAGTGCGCCACGGGCTCGGCCCATGGAACACATTCTAAATTACTCTGAACTGAATAGAACTACACTTATGAATATTCAAGATCCCTTTACTTCGTATGCTAATCCATTTTACCTTACTGCTACAATTATTTTTGGGGCTTTTTTGGGAGAGAGGTATTTGTTTTACAAAGAGAAAGGCAACAATCCAGTATACTGTAACATATCAATCTTTTGTGATCTTTTCTGCTTTTTTTCAATCATAATGATAAATCTTTCATTAACTCATTGCCATTTGCAGAGGTGTTGGGTTTTCCCATTCATTTCAATGAATATGGTAACAAGAGAAAAGAACACTTGAAATTAAAATCTTTCATTAACTCATTGCCATTTGCAGAG